ATAGATCGTCGCTTTGATTTATTTGTCTGAAAACAGCCTTTTCATATCCTTTGACCATTTATCTATTGGGGAATGACTTGTATTTTTATAAATTTGACTCATTTCTCTATATATTTGAGAAATGAGGCCTTTAGCAGAGATACTTGTTGCAAAAAAAAATTTCCTAGTTCTTTGTTTTCCTTAATAATTTTGGTTGCATTGATTTTGTTTGTGCAAAAACTTTTTAATTTCATATAATCAAAATTATCTATTTTGCATTTTGTAATGCTCTCCATATCTTCTTTGGTCCTAAATTCTTCCCTTATCCATAAATCTTACAGGTAAACTATTCCATGCTTTCTTAATTTGCTTATGGTATTACCCTTTATGTGTAAATCACACACCCATTTTGACCTTATCTTGGTATATGGTGTGAGATGTTGGTCTATACCAGGGATGGGGAGCCTGTGGCCTTCTAGATCTTTGGGTGCAGCCCTTTGACTGAGTCTGAGTTTTACAGAACAAATCCTTTTATTTAGGGGATTTGTTCTGTGAAGTTTGGATTCAATCAAAGGGCCACACTTGAGGACCTAGAGGGCCACATATGGTCTCAAGGCCACAGGTTCCCCATCCCTGGTCTATACCTAGTTTCTGTCATACTGTTTTCCAGTTTTCTCAGAAATTTTTGTGAAATAATGAGTTTTTGTTCTAAAAGCTTAGATCTTTGGATTTATCACATACTAGATTTCTATGATCATTTGCTATAATGTAATTTGTACCTAATCTATCCCAGTGATCCACCATTCTATTTCTTAGCCAGTACCAGATTGTTTTGATAATTATCACTTTAGGGGCAGCTAGGTGGCTCAGTGGATAGAGCACCAGCCCTGAAGTCAGGAATACCTGAGTTCAAATCCAGCCTCAGAGCGAATACTTGACATTTACTAGCTGTGTGACCCTGGGCAAGTCTCTTAACCCCAACTGCAAAAAAAAAAAAAGAGATAATTATCACTTTATAATACAGTTTGAGATCTGGTATGGCTAAACCACCTTCTTTTGCTTTTTTTTTTTAATTGATTCTCTTGATACTTTTGAGCTTTTTGTTCTTCCTGATAAATTTTATTATTTTTTCTAGCTCTATAAAATAATTTTTGATAGTTTGATTGGTATGACACTTAATAAATCAATTAATTTAGGTAGAATTGTCTTTTTTATTATGTTGGCTCAGCCTACCCATGCACAATTAGTATCTTTCCGATTGTTTAGATCTGACTTTATTTGTGTGAAAAGTATTTTATAGTTGTGTTCACAGAGTTCCTGGGTTTGTCTTGGCAGGCAGACTCCCAAGTATTTTATATCATCTACAGTTATTTTAAATGGAATTTCTCTTGCTGCTGGACTTTGTTGGTAATATATAGAAATGCTCGTGATTTATGTAGGTTTATTTTGTATCCTACAACTTTGCTAAAGTTGTTAATAATTTCAAGTAGTCTTTAGTTGAATCTCTAGGGTTTTCTAAGCTTTTTTTTTTCCTAAGATTTTCTGGCCCTGGAGGAGGGATCTTGTTCCTGGTCTGTCCTAGGGGTAGGGACCCTGCTGCTGGGTTGCTATGGAAACAAGGTCTCTCTACTGGTAGGCCAGTCTGGGGGCGGGGCTTCACTACTGGTCAGCAGTGGGGTCAAGGCCTCACTGGTGGCTTTTGAGAGGGTTGAGGTTGATGTGGGGCCCTGCTGAGCTGTACACACTGCTCACTTGCCTAGGTGGCTTCTGGATTGCCAGAGGGTGGGCCTCAATGGTGAACTGCCCCAGGCCTTGCTGCAGACCCCTTGCTGTGAGGCAGCTGCCACCGTTGGTGCAGCTGCTGTTGCTCTTAGACCTCACCCCACTCCCTGTCACTTCTACTCCAACAATGCTTTCTTCTTCTTTGCTTAGAATCAAGTCTAGAAAAACAGCTCTCTTCATTGCCTCTCTTACCTTGGGAGGATGAAATTGTCATCAAGGCAAACCCCGAAATGATAAACCATCCTAAAGAATTTATGATGAAAAATGTTATCCACCTCCAGAGAAAGAATTAATGGAATCTGAGTGCATATTAAAGCTTTTTCTTTTTTACTTTCTTTATTATCGATTGCGGGGGAGGGAGGGTGTTTTCTTTTGCAATGTGGCTAATATAGAAATATTTTTGCATGATTGCACACATATAACCTGTATCAAATTGCTTGTCTTCTCAAGGAGGGGAGAGCACAGGGAGGGAGAAAACTTGGAACTCAAAAATATTTTAAATGAATGTTAAAAATTATTTTTACATGTAATTAGAAAAAATAAAATATATTTTTTAAAAATTACGAACCACTCTGATTTTAGCCGAATTCCGACAAACGTCCAAATAATTGAATATCACCATCCTTACTACGTTATTATTTTCTGACTCCTCATCAATTTCGTCTTTCTGACCAAGTGGTCTGTAGCACACTCTGATGACAGCAGTGCCTACTTCTCATGATCTTCACTGATGTGCTCTCCACTGTGCTTGCCCACTTTGGTTCTTGGATTTCATCATGTGGGTACATCTTCTTGAATAATCTCCACCCCCAACCCACTTTTGCCTGTTCTGTCCCTCTTAAATGTATAGTCTTCTGTAGTTATATTTTAGCCTCAGCAAGTTTCGGTGATAATTCTAACATCAAATTTGCTTCTTTATGTTAGGGTCCCTGAAACCTTGAAAGTTCATTCACATCTTGAATATTTTTGTATCAGCCTCTGAAGCCTTAGGTTTTCTTCCTGGCACCTTCTATTGCTACTCTTCAAATACGGGAGCTACCTTGTTTCTATTTTGTATATGTCCAAAGATATACTCGTCTCCCTGGAGTAAAATGTGAGTTCCTCCAAGACAATTTCATTTTGTTGTATGCCCAGCAGTTAACCCCAGTACCTGGCATATAGTAGGTTCTACATAAATGCTTGTTGTGATGTAACCTCTTCTGATAGAATATAACCTTCTTGAGGGCAGAGAATGTTTCCTTTTTCTCTGTATGTCCCTAGAACTTAACACAGTGCCTCGAATACAGTAGAAGTTTAATAAATGTTTGTTAACTGATTTTGTCTCCCCTGATAGAATGTAACTTCTTTGAGGGCAAGAAATATTTCATTTTTGTCTTTGTATACCCAAAGCCTCGTCCACCGTAGATGCTTAGTAAGTGCTCATTGATTGATACGTAGCTTTATAACCAAGGTAGTTGTCTCCTTCTCCCTTCTTTTTAGAGTGTCTCCAAAGTGTCTCCAAAGACACTTTAATTAGATTTATAAGGACTCCAGACACCTTGTGAAACACACTCCCTCCTTTGCCAATAGCCCATTGTTCCCTCAGAGAATACAAATAAGAGCTTTTGTTCTCACCATCTCTACTTTCTCATTTGTCTCTTAAAAAATGTGTCCCCACCCTTCAACCCAGCAATAGCACTTCTAGGTCTGTATCCCAGAGATCATACAAATGGGAAAAGGACCCACATGTACAAAAATATTTATAGCAGCTCTTTTTTGTGGTGGCAAAGAATTGGAAATTAAGGGGATGCCCATCAGTTGGGGAATGACTAAACAAGTTGTGGTATATGAATGTAATGGAATACTATTATGCTATAAGAAATGATGAGCAGGCAGACTTCAGAAAAACCTGGAAAGACTTATATGAACTGATGCTGAGTGAAATGAGCAGAACCAGGAGAACATTGTACACAGTAACAGTCACATTATTCTATGAGTAACTTTGATAGACTTATCTCTTAACAATGCAAAGATCTAAGGCAACTCCAGAAGACTCATGATGGAAAATACCGTCCACGTCCAGAAAAAGAACTATGGAGTTTGAATGCAGATTGAAGCTTATTTGTGCTCTCTCTCTCTCTCTTTCTCTCTCTCTCTTTTCTTTCTCATAGTTTCTCCCATTGGTTCTAATTCTTTTTTACAAGACTAATGTGAAAACAGGTTTAATATGAATGTATATATTGAGCCTATATCAACTTACATTCCATCTTGGGGTGGGGAGAGAGAGGAGAAATAGGGAGAAAATTTAGAAATCAAAATTATATGGAAGTGAATGTTGAAAACTAAAAATAAATAAATAAACTTATTTTTAAAACGTGTGTCCCCACACCCAAGCCCCTTTGCCTCTATCCCTTGCAGCTGAGCAAAGGGAACTCATCTTAGGCACCCAGATAAATCAGCAGGTGCCAGGTTAGAGGCCCCTCTCTTCGGCTCAATGTGAGATTGGTGGCTTTGCAATGAGTCAGCAGGCTGGGGCTCTGATCCTGGAGGTGACACGCTAGCTGTGTGACCTCTGCCAGTCCCAGAAGCTCCGGGCCCGATTCCTCATCTGTAAAACATATGAGCGGCTGATCTCTGGAGTCAATTTCAGCCTAGCATCCCACAAGCTTATCCGCATGACTTTGAAGCAGTTTCTTCCCCTTTCTGAATCTCAGCTTCCTCATCTATATAGTGAGGGTTGGATGAGATAATGAAATCCTTTCAGCTCTTAAATCCTACGGTTCTCCTGAGATGTCTCCTTTGCTCCATGACAGAGCACCTCTACATCTCATCTGAACCTCCAACAATCTGGGGCAACCTATCAGGCAGAGGTCACTCTTCTCCTCTTAGACAGATGATGGAATTCAAACTCAAGGGTGGTGGTGACTTGCCCTATGCCTGTTACAGAAGAAAGGTCAAGTCTCCAGGTGCTCTAGGTCCATCTGGACAGAAGCAAAGAAGACAAGGGTCCCACAGGGTCAGGTAAGGTGATCTGGGCCCCAGCCTGGCCCTTTGTTCTCCCAAAGACAGGGGCCCAGCTGGCAGGCGGTGGCTCCAAGGCCAGGAGAGAAATCTGAGCTGCTGGGTGTGAGGAGGGGCTGGGCAGGCATTGAAAGGTCTCAGCAGTAGGAGTCCCCTGCAATGGGGAGCCAGGCAGGAGGAAGAAAGCCTGGCTGGTCAGGCCCCTGTGGGAGGTATGGGAAGCAGCAGCCAGACACCGGTTTCTGTATCAAATGGAGTTTAATTTTCTTCTTTGTACACCAGATTCCTAATAAAAAGAGGCTCTTAATAACTTACACACAGTAAAGTCTCCAGTTCTAGTCAACCCCAGAAATTTCTGCAGCTTTCATTGAGGGTCTCACATGGGAACCGAGGTATGCGCAGACACACATGTGTGTGCAAAAGGTGGGGTAGGATTGCATGTGAGAGGATGAACGTGTGATCAGAGGAGAGAACAAGGCGATACATGTGAACATGGACCAACTCTACACATACAGGTGAGACCATGTGCACGTATGTTTGCACACACGCTATGCAATAGCAGTGGCAACAGGGAGAGTGCGTGGGTGAAGGTGTGGACAGGTGAATGCCCACAAGCATGGATGTGAAGCACCAGTGAGAACATGTGGGGTCACACGTAAGTGGGCACACGTGTGCACAAGTAACCAATGTATTGCATCGTGGGCACATATAAATGGTAACAGTGTGGTACAGAAGAAAGAAATCTGGATGTGGACCCAGAGAACCCAGATGCTCCTGTCTAGGCAGAAAGTCACTGCCCTGGGCTTCCTTCCTCAATTCCAGCTCCGTGGCTGTGATGTTGTCTTTGCACACGTGGGTCAGAATAGGTGTATGGAAGCACAGTCGACAAATGCATCGTGGGAATGTGTCCACGTATGTCTATGACCATGGGCAAGGTCATAACAATGTGACCACTATGTGCCCGTATGTACTTGTGTGTACATGTGAGCACAGGTAGGAAACGTGTACGAATGAGGGAGAACACATACGCATGAGACAGAGAAAACCCATAGGCACATGAGAGGCAGTTGTGCATCCACGTGTATGACAGCATCCCCGGACACAGAACAACAGACCCAGGGGCAGACAGAAGGAGCAGCAGCCAGGCTTGCGCCCTTTAGGTTAGGTGTTCTCAACTTTGTTTACATCCTGGGCACCTCGAGCGGGAAGTCTGGGGACGCCAACAGATCCATGTTCAGTATCACAGTTTGATGACTACATTCATAATTGAAGGGAATACTGAGTTTAGCTTAGAAGACTAAAAAGAAAGCTGTACTTTTTCCCATCCAAGTTCACAGACCCCCCGAAATCTCTCCATAGATTCCTCGTGTGCCATCGATGTGTTCTCATGCGTGGTTGGGGGGCCGGGGACTCCGGGTTAAGAATCCCTGTTTTAGAGGTTTTGCTTAATAGCCTAGGGCCAGGCTTTCCTCTGACTCCTGTCCATAGGATGGGAGCCTAGAGCTGAAAGGCTGCTCAGGAGAAGAGGGAGGGATGGAGAGGACATGAAAATGAAATAACTGCACCCCCAACTACTCTGATCCTGGCTAGGGTGTTGCATGTCCCCAAGAGGAGCAGAGCAGGTCATCCATCCATCCATCCCACCCACCTCCCAACAGCCTCTGCTGCCAGAGGTCAGTCAGTCTTCCAAGATGGGCAGCTAGGGACCACGTCCCAGAGTGAGGAAGGTCTGCACCACCTTCAAAGTGCTTGAAGAAGGAAGGAGTCAAGGGAAAGGAGAGGCAGGCCTTGAGGAGGGAGGGGGGTCTGCCTGCCCAAAAGCAGGAGGCCCCAGACCAGCTGGGCTCCCGGCTCCACCTGCAGGGGCCGTCAGATCTCGCCACATTCCACCCACACTGTCCGGGCCTGCTCCTGCAGAATACGGCCCCGAACCACCTTGGCCAGTTCTTCTGCGTGGGCCCAGGCATGCGTGTCCACCCGTGCCCAGGAGCATGGCAGGTCCCACAGCAAATGCTCCCCACCTCGGCACTGCCTCAGGAGCTCCGAGTCTCGCCAGCCTGGTCGGCCCAGCAAACTCCTGCCAAAGGGAACGTGGGGGTGTGAGCTGGGAATGGAGGCCAGCCTGGAGCAGGGCTGAAAAGGGACCCTGAGCTTAGCGTCCAGGGCCACTGGGCTCAGCCCTTCCTGCACCTCAGGGAGTCAGTGCTGATTCCTGCCCTCTGGACAAACCCCATCTCTTCTCTGAAGCTTAGTTTCCTCATTTGAAATAGAGTTTGTAATATTCCCCATTTGTAATAATTTGTAATAATAATATAGAGTCTGGAAGACCTGAGTTTCAATTTCACCTCAGACCCTAACCAGCTGTGTGACCCTAGGCAAGGTCTGTGACCTCTCTGTGCCTTAGTGTCTTCCTCTGTAAAATGAGGGGGATAAACCTTCTCTGAGGTCCCTCTCAGCTCCAAACCTGGGATCCTGTTACCCCACAGTCTAATCTATAAATCAGCTGTCTGCACATGTATCTCTCCTCCCTCCTCAAGAACAAATCCAATAGGAATATATATGTATAGCCTATATCAGATTGCACGTCACCTTGGGGAGGGAGGTGGGGAAGGAGAGGGAGAAAAATTTAAAACTCAAAAGCTTATGGAAGTGATTGTTGATAATTCAAAATAAATTAATTAAAAAGAAAAAAAGAGTGAAAAAAAACAAATAAAAAATAAATTAAAAAAATTTTAAAAAAAGAACAAATTCAACAAACAGTGATTAAGCACATCAAGACCAGTGCAGGGCAGTGGGGAAATACAAAATTTAGATAGGACACATTCCCTTTCCCCAAAGGGCTAACAGCCTGATAGAAGTAAAAAAAAAAATCATAACTAATAATCCATTCCCATTTCTATAAAGAACTGTCTTCACAACAATGCTGGGAGGAAGGTAGTTATTATTTTAAGTATCCCGTTTGACAGATGAGGAAACTGAGGGTCAGAGAAGGAAAGAAAGTGACTTTCCTAGGGTCATACTGCCAATTAGTGTCCAAGGAATTTGAACTGCACATGCAGACCTCTGTCTACTTACTACCTATCAGAGACTGTACCTCTAACTCTCTGTCCTTCACGGCCTCCCCTGCCATGCCCCCCAAGCATCCCCACCCGTGTATTCCCAGCAAACCAGCTGCTGTCCTCCAGTCCCTCCCAGGCCCCTTCAGTCCTGCTCTTAGCCCTTTCCTCACTGACTGCTGCTGGCCGCTTCCCACACACCCCATCTCCTCTCCTCTCCCCAGAAAAGGCCCCTGCTGTCTCCCACCCTCCCAGCCCGACACACACATCCACAGCCCCAAGCGCGCGGCCTCACCTGATTTCCCGAACATTCTTTTCTGTCACATCCACATGGATGACAATTGGGTAGATCTCACTCCGCACCAGCTCCCTCACACTCTGGGGGCTCAACTCCAGCAAGCAGTGCTTGTTCTAGATTTGAGAGCAGGGAAAAGAGCCCTTCGGGTCACATGTTCTGCCTTTGGGGGCCAAAGACCCAAGCCACCAGCCACCAGCCACCAGGCCCTAGCGTTGCCTCCCCAGCCCGGCCGTGGCCCCAGATGTAGCCAGGGTCACCAGAAGATCCCGGGTTCTCCACCTCACCTCCACCTGGGAAAATGATTCATGTAGACAAAATGACGCAATTTAGCAGGGGAAGAAAAGTTCTGGCCTGACCATCAGGAGACCTGGGTCCATGAGAACATGGGGTCCAAGATCTCGGGTTAGAAGGGACCTCAGACGTCATGTAGCCCAGCTATTTCACGTTATAGATGAAGCAACTGGGGCCCAGAGAGGTCTAGGGGCTTTCTTATGTATCCTTGGGCAAGCCATTTCTTGGTCTCACTTTCCTCATCTGATAAATGGGCACAAATAAGCCATGTCCTGTCCAAGATTAGAGTCACATAATAACAGATCTGGGTGGGACCTTGGAGAAAGTCTGGTCCAAAACCCAAATTTATTGGAGGAGGAAACCAAGGCCCAGTGTGGAGATAGGTGCACAACAAGTTAATACAACACGGTAGAGTGGAAAGAGCTCTGAAGCTAGGGGTCCAAAGTCCTGGGTTTGGATTCTAGCTGGGTGCCTGAGCACCTTATTTACCTTCCTTGGTTTGTTTCCTCATTTGTCATAATGATAATGATGATGAAGGTTAACATTTGTAGAGACATTATCTCATTTCATCCTCCCAAGAGTCCTGTGCAGTACATACTAGTATTATCCCCATTTTATGGATGAGGAAACTGAGGAAACTGAGAGAAAGTAACTTGCTCAGGGCCAAAAAGCTAATTAGTGTCCGAAGCAGGACTTGTGTGTTCCCTAGGCTCCAACTCCAAGACTTTATCTACTCCACTCTTATTCTAGATCCAAGATCCTATGATTCAATTATGTTTAAGTACTAAAAAATCAACCTTTCTTGAAATGCAAAAAAAAAAATCCTATATCCAACTATAATAACAACAATAACAATAATAGCTAACACTTATATAGCACCTACTATGTGCCCGGCACTGTGCTAAGTGCTTTACAATCATCTCATTTGATCCTCACAACAATCCTGAGAGGTGGGTACTATTATTATCCCCATTTTACAGATGAGGGAATTGAGAGAAAGAGAGGTTAAGTGATTTGCCCAAGGTCACACAGGTAGTAAATGTCTGAGGTTGGATTTGAACTCAGGTCCTGCTGCCTCTAGGCCCAGAGCTTACCTAGCTGGGTCAGTTCAAAGGGAAGCACTAGGAGCTGGGGAAATGAGGAAAGGTTCCATGTAGGAAGCGTTGTTGGAGCTCAGCTTCGACAGAAGCTAGGGATTCTAAAGGAAAACTATGAGGGCCCTACAGAGATGGCCGCACTGGGCTCCCTGACCGCCACCCCAAGCTAAGGAGAGTCTTGGCTCCCAGCCCACCCATCCCGGCTCTCCCTCGTCGGCCTTCCACACCTTTCCAATAGATTCCTGGATGGTCCGGACCCTCACGCCCAGGCCCTGAGGAACAGGCTGGGCCGAGGGGGCGCCCGGTGCCGCGGGGACCAGCGGTTCATCTCCAGTGAGGCTCTCTGCAGGGGCAGATATAATCCGTCATTCTGGCTGCCTCTCCCAGCATTTGCTGTCCCCTCCTCCCCCCTTCTCCCTTCCTGGGCCCATCCTTACCCGCTGGACACACGTGGAAATCCAGGCGTGATGTAGGCAGGTCCAGCAGGTTTCGGATTAAGCGGGGGGCCAGGCATTCAGGGGACAGCACCACAGGACGGAGGGAGGACACTAGCAGAGGCCGGACCAAGCTATAGGGCTTGGAGCTCCGGTCAGGCTCTGGGAGAGACAGACAGGACAGCCTGAAGTCCAGGGACAAGTGCTGGGATTGGAGCTATCTAGATGAGCCCTCCTCAGGAACCCTCATCAAAATCTCATATCCACAAGCTAATAGGGCTCACTCTTATCCCCAACTACTACCTGTGTGACCCTGGACAGCTCAGGTCCCTTCTCACAGGACCACAGCTCTGCAGCTGCAAGGGACCCTAGGGAACATCTAGTCCAACCCCTTCATTTTACAGATGAGGAAACTGAAGCAGAGAGAGGTGAACTGACTTCAGTAGAACCCGGAAGGGACCTCCGAGATCACCTGATCCCACCCCCAGCTCTTAAACATGAGAAAAGTGAGACCCAGAGAGAGTAAGCGAATTGTCCAAGGTCACAAATGACAGCTAGGATTGGAATTCAGATCATGGGACCATCAGATCTACAGCTGGAAGGGACCTTGGAAATCCAACTCCCTTGTGTCACAGATGAAAGAGTCTGGCCTCGGAGAGAAGAAAGCTTGCACGTTTCACCTAAATAACGGGCTCTCCTCCAGCCCAAACCCACGATGACCTTCACTATGTGATAGCTATCTCCATGTCTCTGAGGACAACCCAGGGCTGGGGGGCTGGGGGGCAGGGGGACTCACCTGGGCAAGAGTCTAGCAAGAACTGCTCCTGGGGGTCACCTGGCCCCCCTGAGAGTCTGGGCTTCACCAGACGGAGCTGGTCTAAGGCACGTTTCTTTAGCTGGGCAGGCAGAGAGAGGAAAAGCAAAGAAGAGAATTGACCAGAGCCCTGCCCGTGCCACCCGTCAGGACAGCTGGACAAGATAGGATAGACCGACTGTTAGACAGGTCTTTCACACAAATGGACTTCCAGACAGACTTTTGGAAAGACAGGATTTTCAAACAGATCAGACAGACAGAAAGATAGACCAATAGAACACTTGTTAAGTGCCTACTATATACCAGGCACTGTGTTAAGAGTTGAGAATACCAGTACAAGCTTGACAACCTCTATCACCCTGTTTACATTCTAATGCGGAAAGAGTCAGGGGTATAGGGTGAGAGAGAGAGATCCAGTCAAGGAGGTCAAGCAGGGCCTAGAATACTGTGTCAGAGCTTCCCTGCCCTCATCTGTAGCTCTGCCACACCCAAAGGGAAAGAGAGAAGCCCTCACCCACCCCTGCTAGCTCCAGCCCCCACTCACATTGCTCCCCCGGTGACTTCTGGAGCGACCGTAGTGTGGGCACTTGTCCTGGGCCTCCAGGAGCTGCTGGGCTCTGCAGGGGAGTGGGGGGTTGGTTGGGGGAGCAAGAACATAGTGCCCCACCCCCTTTCGTACCCAGGCTGCCCCTCCCCCACGTGCCCATCAGCCTTCAGTCACCTCCGGAAGTTGGGCACTGTGCCCCTGTCCAGGTCTCGAAGGGTGAGGGGGTCGACTCGGGCACAGTACCACTCAGGCCGGCCCTTGTAGGCTGGGTCCACCACACGCAGGATCTCTTGGCCTTTCACACACAGAGCCCGGGGGTCAGCCTGCTCAGGCAAGGGATGATTGGCTCGGACATAGAAGGAATCGGCTCCCGACGTTCCCTTCTTACTGATGGCGTCAGAGTCCTCCCTGGGGGATGGGCAGACTGGGCCCAAAAAGAAGACACGTCTATGGAAATCTAGCACACCTTCCCTGGCACACTGCCAGTCATGATCTCATCTGTCCCTCACTTCCTGGTGAGGCGGGAAGGACAAGATATCACAGACTCTCTACCACACCCTTTGAATGCAAGTGTCCTTACATCCCATTTTATAGATGGGGAAACTGAGGCTTGGAGCTATTAGGTCACATGTCCAGGGTCATACAGGATCAGAGTCAGAATTTGAACCCAAGTTTTTCCCAACTCCAAATCCAGTGCTCTAGCCAGGGATATGGGGAGGCCAGGTCCCAGCTATAAAACCATTGGGGAATCAGGAGCCCTGCCCTCAAGGAGCCCCCGTTCCAATGGAAGAGACAAGATGTACAGAGTGGGTATATACAGAGTGGATGAAAGGCTTGAGCAGTGAGGAGGACTGGGTAAAGCCTTCTTCAGAAGGTAAGAGTAGAACAGCGTCTGGAAGGACTCGGGGAAGCCAGGAGTGGAGGTGAGAAAACACCAAATTCCAGGCATGGAGATGGCCAAAGCAAGTACATGGGAGTCAGGAAATGGAATGACGTCTTTGATGAATTGCAGGAAGGCTGAGGCAGCTGAATCACAGAGTATGTGGAGGAGAATAAGTGGGGACTTTAGAAAGACAGGAGTGTTTGGGGGAGAGGAGATAATGAGTTCTGTTTTGGGCATGGTGAATTAGAGACATTCCTAGGACAACCAGTTAGAGATCTCCACATGACTGCAGCTTGGGTGAATGGCTAGGGATGTAGGGCTCTGGGAATCATTCACATAGAGGTGATCATTGAATTCATAGAGGCAGATAAGCTCACCAAGTAAAATAGTAAAGAGGGGAAAAAAGAGGGTCCAGGGCAGAGTCTTGGGGGACACCCACAGTTAGGGGGCAGGATATAGATGAAGAACCAGCAAAGGAGACGAAGAAGCAGTGGTCAGAGAGATAGGAAAACCAGGAGAGCAGTGTCATGAAAACCTAGAGAGGAGAGAAAACCAGGAGATGATGACACAGTGGCCAAGGTGGAAATAGATCAGGAAAGACAAGGATTGAGAAAAGGCCACTAGGAAATCACTGATAACATTGGAAAGAGCCGTTTCAGTTGAATCACAAGGTCAGCAAACATAAAGCAGAGCGTTTGCAGCAGAGCAAGAGGAAATAAGTCAAGGGACAGAAGCTTGAACCTTTGCTTCCTGGGTTATTTCAGATTTCACCTGTCACAGTATTTAATACAGAGAGTCTTCTCAAGTTTAGCTAAGAAGGGGAGGAGAAAATATAGGATGATAGCCGGCAGCCATGCTTCAATCTAGTGGGCATTTCTTAAGGCTGGGGAAGATATGGATGTATTTGTAGGCAGTGGGAAAGTAGCCGGTAGGGAGGGAAAGAGATTGAAGAGAAGAGACAGAGTGAGGATGATAGAGGGGGCTATCTGCTGGAGGAGAGAGGATGGAATGGGATCACTTGAGCAGATAGAGGGGTTTGCCTGGACAAGGAGAAGGATCACCTCTTCCTCTGAGACAGGGGTGAAGGGAGAGATAGAAGAATATGTCTGAATGGTGAGAGAAAAGGAGAAGGGGGAAAGAGGGAGCTTTTGGAAAATGGTCTTGATTTTTTCCAAGAATGAAGTGAGCTCTTCAGCTGAGAGGGTGAAGGAAGGTGGTGCCATTTGAGGAAGAATAAGGAAAGATAAGAGACTTGAGGAAAGTCGAGATTTGAAACAGCTACTGTGGAGACAAGGGTAGCAAATCAATTAGGAAACAAGAGAATGCTGTCCTAGTGCAGTGTGTAGGAGACTCTGTCACCGGTTTCATGATTTCCATCAGTACCATTCAGCAGCATGTGAACAGGAACAAAGGAGGTGAATGGCAGGAGTAATCAAGGGTTGGCCTTTGGCAAGGCATGACTGGCAACAAGACAAGGAGGTAAGAGACTTGAAGAGGGGACAGTCTAGAGTTGAACTGCTTCGTCAAGACCTCAAGGTTAGAAAGGAAGGAGAGTAGAGAGAGTGAAAGGGTGATGGCCTGGGAAAGAACTGAGGAGTGAAGGGATCGGGGGTGACTGTGAGGGCAAAGAACAGGGCTAGGGATTGTGAGACGGGAAAGATGAAACAATAAAAGGTTCTGATCAGATAAAGGAATTTCAGAGTTGTTTGGCAACATGGAACATGCAGGTGATGGCAAATTCAAACATGAGGTGGGATGGTAAAGAAAGTCATGGGAAGTGAGTAGATTAAAGAACTGAGAGGTAGGGTGTTTGAAGGAGTATCAAAATCTATGTTGAAATCCCCTAATGGGATGATAAGAGTTGGAGAAGACAGAAAGGCCACGAACCATGGAATGAATTTATGTGAAGAAGGAAGGAGCTCATCCTTGGAGTCAGTGGATAACAGTTACCAGCATCCAGATTGGAAGAGAGAAGCAGACAGAACGAGCCTCAAAGGAGGTTTCTGAGTCATGGTGGTAGAGGAAGGGCCTGAAAGTGGCCATGGGACCAAGGCGCACTCCAGCTTCCCCACCACCACCTGTGAATCGGAAGGATGAATGAAAAAGGAAAAAGGCAGTAAGGAAAGACTAAAATGGGATGAAGCTTAGCAGGGGCTGGAGCCAGCAAGGCTCCAAGGGTGGTGATGGTGGGAAGCCTGCATCCAGGAGAGGGGTTTGTGGAGGTCAGATAGGGAAGAGGCTACTGGAGAGCTTTGGTCACTCCATGGTGCTCATAACTTGAGAAGATTTTCCCCTTGTCTGTTATTTTAAAGCACCCATTGCCCTATAATGATTAACAGTGAGGTTCCTCACTCATGGTGAAAGATACTATCTGCCTCCAGAGAAAGAACTGATGAACTCTGAATGCAAATAAAAAGTCTAAAGTGAGGGCATGAGCTGTAAACAGGGAAGGGAAGAGGCTGAAAACCTGGATCCCTTTCTAGGCAGGACAAGGAAAAGGATGAGGATGACAAGAAGCCACTTGGGAGAAGTAACAAGCCAAACCCAAGGGCTGCCCTCTTAGGAGAAAGAATATCAACTGATTTATAATGAAAAAAAAAAAAGAAAAGAAAGCAAAGAATGCAAAAATTAAGCACTTTTTTTAAATGCACAGAACTAAGTTCAGAGGGGCACAGATAAGGAGAAGAGTTTTAGAATTCATGTGTCCTATTTATTGCATACCCTTTTTAAAAGCTAGGTCTTTTTGTGGTGGTAAAGAATTGGACATTGAGAGGATGCCCATCAATTGGGGAATGGCTGAGCAAGTTGTGGTATATGATTGTGATAGGATACCGTTGTGCCATAAGAAATGAAGAGGGGGTGGTTTCAGAAAAATTTGGGAAGACGCATGTGACTAATGCAAAGTGAAGTGAGTAGAACCAGAAGAACATTGTACACAGTAACAGCAACATTGTAAAGATGATAAACTGTGACAGTGATCTGAGCCAATTCCAAAAGCCCCATGATGAAACCTGGATCCCCACCCCCAGAGAGAGGACTGATGAACTCTGAGTGGAGATGGAAACATAATTTTTTCACTTTCATTATTTTTTTTGCTTTTTCTTTTTGCAAAATGGCTAATATGGAAATTTGTTTTGCATGATTTCACATATATAATTGATATCTTATTTCTTGCCTTTTCAGTGGGTGGGATAGGGGTGGGCAGGAGGGAGAGAATTCAAAACTCAAGTTTTTTTTTTAAATAAATGCTAGAAATGAATAATAAATTGACTTAAAAAAATAAAAATAAAAAAGCTATACTGTAATTGAGATTCATGGTTATACAAATCTCTTTTTTGGTCTTTATGCAGGGAGATGTTCATGTTTGTTAGCATTGATCAAGGTCAAAATAATAATAATTATAATTATAGCTAACGTGTACATAGCACTTACTATGAGTCAGACACTGAGCTAAGTGTTTGACAATAATTATCTCATTTGACCCTCACAACAACCCTGGGAAACAGGTGCTATTATTCCCCTCATTTTATAGATGAGGAAACTGAGGCGAACAGGTTAAGTGACTTGCCAAGGGTAACTGCTACTAAGTGTCTGAGACTGGATTTGAACTCAGGTCTTCCTGACTCCAGGCCAAGTGCTCTATCCACTACACTCCAGTAGCAGCTGGATAAGGAAGGCAGGTACCTGGCAGTCAAGAATCAGAATGGGTTGGGGCAGCTAGGTGGCGCAGTGGATAGAGCACCGGCCCTGGAGTCAGGAGGACCTGAGTTCAAATCTGGCCTCAGACACTTGAAACTTACTAGTTGTGTGATCCTGGGCAAGTTACTTAACCCCAATTGCGTAAAAAAAAAAAAAAAGTCAGAATGGGGAGGCAGGCCCAGACCAAGGAGGCAGCTAGGCTGGGGCTTACTCCCAGCTTCACACCCCATTCTCTCATGTGACCTTGAGTATAAGCACTTCCATCCTCTGCCATGAAATGAAGATGTTTACATACATGATCTCTAACACCTTATGAGCCTGATTCCTATGATCAGGAATCTCCAGATACCCAATTTCTATTCTAATCCAAGTGGAAGGAAAACAGAGAAAGGGACTAAGCCCTGACCAGTGAGAGAAGGGCAGAGAAATGATCCTGCCCTCCCACTTTGTAAAGGCTGCAGTGCCAGGGAGAGCCTGGCCGGGAGGCCCCTCCTTTCCCACCTCTTTCACTGTAAGACTCCTTTTGCAGAAGAGGGCTGAGCTCCAGGAATGATTAGGGTCCTCACCTTTCATATCCTGGAAGAAGGTGAAGGTGGCAGCCTCATTCCAGCGCAGGGTGCTCAGCTGGCCCTGGGCATCCTCCCGGCTTGTATTGTCTCTTCTCAGCTGGTGAGGCAGAGAAAAGGAAAAAGTGAAGATATTACCCCAGGAAATTAAGGTAGTTTGGGTTTAGATTTTTTGGGGGGAAGGCAAACTTTCAGGAACACTCAAGGATGGACTTTAGGGATTGATGGAACATCGTCCCACTGCCTGGCATCCTATCATGTGCCTCTCTCCCCAGGCAGAATTCACTCCCAATCACAGACACCCCACTCCTTTCCTGGCCTTGGGGGCTGAGTGAATATAGCACGGTGAAAGGCCTTTATCCTTGATACGTTAGTCTGGAGTTTGGGTCTGACTGTGATCCTCTAAGTTCTTAAACTGGGGCCTATGGACTTGGTTTGATGGGTGGATGGATGGATGGATGGACGGACGGACGGACGGACGGATGGATGGAGGGATGGATGGATGAATAGATGGATAGATGGATATATAGACAGACAGATAGATGGATGAATGGATGGATGGATGGATGGAGGGATGAATAGATGAATAGATGAATAGATGGATAGATGGATAGATGGATATATAGACAGACAGATAGATGGATGAATGGATGGATGGATGGAGGGATGAATAGATGAATAGATGAATAGATGGATAGATGGGTAGATGGATGGATGGATGGATGGATGGATGGATGGATGGATAGATGGATAGATGGATGGATAGATAGATAATATAGATAGATAGATAGACAGATAGATAGACAGACAGAGACAGACAGGCAGAGAGATAGATAATGGTACTGCCATGCATTTAGTTTCCTTTGTAATCCTCTTCATTTGACTGAATGCATTTAAAAACATGATTCTGAGGAGGGGTCCATAGGCTACACCAGATACCAACGAGTCCAGGACACAAAAAGAACTTTTGCTCTATCCCCTCCCCTTCCTGTCCTATTTGAATTTAAATTTGACAGACACCCCCCTCCATGCCAAATACCAGGCAGGTCCCTGTCTGATGCCACCTCATCTGCGCTCTCTGAGTGAACCTCCCTGCAACACATTTACTGCCCCTATCTTGACAGGCTGTGTTGCTTTGTCTCCCTATGAAGACTATAAACATCCTGTAAAATTGGATGGGCAGCTAGGTGGCGCTGTAGTGGATAGAGCACCAGGTCTGGAGTCAGGAAGACTCCCCTTCTTGAGTACAAATATAGCCTCAGGCACTTACTAGCTGTGTGACCCTGGGCAAGTCACTTCACCCTGTTTGCCTCAGTTTCCTCATCGATAAAATGAGCTGGAGAAAGAAATGGCAAACCACTGCAGTATCTTTGCCAAGAAAACCCCAAATGGGGTCACAAAGAGTCAGACATGACTGAAAAACAACACAAAATTGGACAGCCCAAAAGACACAGAATGTTTGCCCAATAACACTCTATATTTTAAGATTAGCTCAGGCATTCCATGTTCTAAGGGCCCTCCCAGCTCTGACATTCCATGTTCTAAGGGCTCTCTCAGCTTTAGCATCCCACTTTCTCAGGTCCTGTCCAGTTCCAACATTTGAATCTAAAATCCCTTCCCTGAAATCAAGGTGGAGTCAGCGAGGCTGCCACTCACTCAGGTCCACCTCTGTGCTGGCCATTACCCAGAGGCCCTGCCCAGTGATTCAGAATCTCAGAATTTCAGCCCACCGAGGTTGTTCAACCCAATCCAGGGCTGTCTAACCCAATCCAGGTCCAGGGCCCAATCAGCCACAGGTCTCACCTCTAAAAATTGGTGGCCATCCTGCACGTCCACTGTGGATTCTGTTCCTGGGCCCGACAGTGCTCGGCGTAGCACCACCCCAGAGGGGTTGCTCCCACGGAAAGATGTGCTACTGTCTGGTCCCTTGTCTTGGGACTCTGGCCCACCTGGAGGGCTGTGCCTAGAGGACCCCCGTACAGCTAGGGACCTGAGGGAAAAGGAGGAAAGAGGGATGTTAGGGGCAGAGAATTTGATTCCAAATAATCAACTTGTAAGTACTCTGAGAATCTCCTGTGTCATGCAGTTCTTAACCTGGGACCCACAGGCCCATTGAATCCCTTCCAACATCTTAAAGCCCAACAATCCAAATGTCACCTGCTCAAGGAAGTCTGCCCTCATCCCTCAAAAGGGAATAAATTACCTTCCCTCTTCAGACCTCACATGGCACAATTGTGTACTAGCCTATGTCCCCCGACTACACTTGGACCAGATCTTATTTAAACTGTGTATCTCCCCTCACATCCAGTCCAGGGCTCCGCATTGTAGCAGTCATATAATCAATGTTTATATTTACTGATGTGGCCATTTTGTTTCCCCAATAAAATGTAAGCTCTTGGAAAATAGGGACTATTTCATTTTCATGCTTATTTAAAATTCTCACTGAATCACGGGATCACAGATTCAAGGCAGGATGGGACACCAGAGGTCATATTACAATTAATAATAATAATAACTAGCATTTATATAGCACCTACTATGTGCCAAGCACTGTGCTAAGCATTCTACAATTATATTTCATTTGATCCTCACAAGAACCCTAGGAGGTAAGGGTTATTATTATCTCCATTTTACAGTTGGGGAAAATGAAGCAGAAAGAGGTTAAGTGAGTTGTCCAGGATCACACAACTGGAAAACATCTGAAGCTAGATTTGCACTCAGATCTTCTTGATTCCAGGTCCTTTACTATCTCCACTGAGTCACCTAGCAGCTCATCTCATTTTCACAGATGAGAGTGACTTAGTCAAGGTCACACAATAAATTGCAGAGAATGGATTTGAACCTGGCTCCCAGCAGTTATTTTAAATACTTTTATGGTAGATTGACATGGAATTGGGCATCCAAATATAAAATGACAGGACTAGAGGGAGGAAATACACATGGTAGGAGCACCTACTATGTGCCAGGGGATGTCTAAAGCACCCCCACCACCCTCCTATTTGATGAAGGGACTAAGTCTCACAGTGTGACAGGCCTCAAGTAACTCTAATAGTCAGCAGCACAATCGGGGAGCTGGCTCCAGAACTCAGGCACCTTCCCCCATACCACACTGCCCTTCTCAATCATAGCCAAAAGCACCCTATTCCAAGGATACTGCAGGCAGCCTTCCTTAGCCCAGTGCTCCAAGCAGAAGTGGACTTATCTCACTTTACCTGGCTGGAAGGAAATGCCCATCTATCCCTCCTCCCTGCTCCAAGTTTGTAAAAGGTCTGATTCTGGGAATATTTCCCAACCGTGGTACAGGTATGGAAACTGAGGCATGAAGTGACTACAGCAGGGGGTGGTGAATCCCAGAAAAATGGCAAGAAGAATCCCACGGCCCCACTTATAAATCCCAGGATGCTTCTTCTAAACCTTCAGTTACTAAGAAACAAACCCCCTCCCCCTGCCTGTTGATTACCTACAATTTGTCCCATATGCATTTTATTGTATAGTCATCTGCATGTTGTCTTCATTGCCTGTGAGCTCCTAGAAGGTAAGGACTGTCTTCTGCTTTTCTTTGTATCCCCAGCGCTTAATACAGTGCCTGGCTAACAAAATGCTTATTAACTATTGACTGGCTGACTGTTTTCTGCTGTCCAGCTTGAGGGCAAGCTTTTCTTGCAAGACTGATACCTGGGGCTTTTCAGCCCATACAGTAGAGTGTCAGAGGCCCCTGGGTCTCTGCCCTACACATACCTGGGCCATCCTGGTACCTGAGATCCCCAGGTATCTCCAGCTCTAAGAACAGGTGGGAAGAAGAGGAGGGAGTTATGCACACAGCAGTAAAGGAAGCCAGGGCCACTAACCAATGCCCTTTTCTGAACCCTCAAGGAGCCTAGGATCTTGGTTCCTGGGTCGCAGCTCTGAGTGTACCTGGGCCATCCTGGTACCTGAGATCCCCAGGTATCTCTAGCTCTCAGAGAAGGTGGGGAGGAGAGGAAGGGGTGATGCACACAGTGTCAGAGTTACTAACCAATTCCCTTCTCTGAGCCTCCAAGGATCTTAGGATCTTGGTTCCCTGGGTCTCTACTCTAGGTATACCTGGGCCATCTTGGTGCCTAAGATCCCCAGGTATCGCTAGCCCTCAGAAAAGGTGGGGAGGGGAGGAAGGGGTGATGCACACAGTGTCACTAACCAATTCCCTTTTCTAAACCCCTAAGGATCCTAGGATCTTGGTTCTAGAATTGGAAGGGGCACATCAAACCCTGCCATTTACAGATTTTTTTACATTTTATAGGAAACTTTGGCCCATCGAATTGGATCAACTCACCTAACATCACATAGGTAGTGACTATCCAGGGCAGAATTTAAACTCTGGTCCTCTGACTCTGAAACCATTTTTTCTCACTTTTCAATGCTGCCAGGGCAGAGTCAACAAGCATCAGCTATAATTACATTCTTCCATCACAACACTCCTCACATGCTCGTCATGTCCTTAGGCTAACTCTGGGCTCTCAAAAGCTTTGCCAGGAAACTACATGCTCCAGCAGGTCCTAACCCTCCCTGCAGATGGCTCTGGGGACAGGGCTGGTCCTAAGAGCACAGATTTTAAGCTGGAAGGGATCCCAAAGCCCAACTAGTCCAACCTACTCATTTTTACAGATGAAGAAACTGAGGCCCAGAGAGGTGAATTTCCTTGCTCCAGATTATAGAAAATAGTAAGCAGCCAAGCTAGGATTCAAACACAGAAACTCTCTTGCCTTAAGGAGCAAGGTGGCATGGTGGAGGGAGGGGTGGACCAGGAATCAGAGAGACCTGAGTTCAAATCCCGCCTTAGTCATGTACTAGTTGTGCCATCCTGAGTGAGTCACTTAAGACTTCTCCAGGCCTCAGTTTCCTTTTCTGTAAAATGAGAAAATTGGATTCAGTGACATCTAAGGTCCCTTCCCAATCTGGACGCTAGGACTCCAAAGGCAGTGCTCTCTCCACTGGAATTGTCTGTGATGGTGAAAGAGTGGGAGTCTGTCACACACAGAGGACAAGACCCACTAAGCTGAGAGCCTCATCACCATCACCCAATCAGGGAGGAGTTTTCTTAGCCACAGAAACTCACAAAAACCAGCTAGAGAGGAATCTGCCTCGGTGGACAGAAGGTCCACACCCAGGAAGACACATACTCTGCACAATGTAATTTATTATTATTTACTATTATTATTATTTTCCTTATTACCATCATTATCTTTGATGCTATGACTTCAGACTGGATCTGTGGTTTCATTGGTTTAGACACCCCCTACCAATGTAGAAATAGGGAGGCTAATCAGCCAGTCAATAAACATTTATTAATCAATTACTATGTGCCAGACCCTGTGCATAGAAAGGTAAAAAACAGCCTCTGCTCTCAAAGAGCTCAATGGATAGAGTGTTGGGCTTGGAAGACCCAGAGAATTCAGCCTCAGACAACTTACCAACTGGGTGACCTTGGACAAGTCACTTAACCCTGCTTGCCTCAGTTTCCCCATCTGTAAAATGGGATAATAATACCTACCTGTCAGAGTGAGGATCAAATGAGATAATACCTGTAAAGTGCTCTACAAACCTTAAAACATTATAGAAACATGAATTATCATCATGATTGTTGTTGTTACTACTGCTACTACTACTACTACTATTACTATTACTACTACCACTAAAACTATTATTACTACTACTCCTACTACTACCACCACCTTTAAGAATGCCCTGAGATGGGGCAGCTAGATGGCACAGTGGATAGAGTACCAGCCCTGAAGTCAGGAGGACCTGAGTTCAAATTCGGCCTCAGACCAAACACTTGACACTTACTAGCTTTGTGACCCTGGGCAAGTCACTTAACCCCAATTGCCTTAAAAAAAAAAAAGGAATGCCCTGAGACTCTGAAAGGTTAAGTGGTTTGTATCAGAAGCAGGACTTTCTAACTCCAAGGCCAGACCTTTATTCACTCTACTCTTCACTCTACTATACTGCCTATTACTCCAGTGTAATTCATTTAGTTAGGAAACAGGGAGGATCTTGACCTGTGATTTCACTGGTATAATGAATCCCAGTGAGGATATCCCCTTCACCAATGCAGAGTACCCTCTTTGCAATTTATAATCTCAGAGAGCTGTCTAAAGCGCTGAGAAGTTGACTTGTCCAAAGTCACACAAAGTGTCTGAGGCAGCCCTTGAACCCACAGGTTCCAGTCCATTACAACCTGCTGCCTTTCCATCCTACCAGCATCATTTAGAGGATAATAATGGCAATAATTACAGTCATACCGACCATAATCATCATCATTATTATTATTATATCTCCAGTAAAGTTCTCCTCCCAGCATCTCAGCCAAGCCTGGAGGGGGCTCTCCAAGGCTATGACGCTGGAGCATAAGCTGTGCTAGGTCCCACGTTGCTGGTGAGGATTCCAGCTCTGTTCCAGGGGAGGATTGCATGACTGAACTCAGAGATGTAGTAACAGCAGCCAGCCACCAGGGGGAGGACGCCTTCGCCTAATCCCCTGAATTCTAGTATGCTGCTCTAGTATGCTGAACAGCCTCAATTTACTCTGTATATATTGTTTGTATAGAATTGTCTGCACGTTGTCTCCCCCCGTTAGACTATGGGCTCCCCGTGCATAAGAATTGCCTATTTTTTTAACCTTACCATTGTAATAACTCTGCAAAAATTAATATGTAATATGTTCTTTTATTGCAAACAGCTGTTTTATGAGATTTAAGCTTACAAGATTTGTCTACACATTCTTTATCATAAAACCAAACCTTTTTCACATTGGATATTAAGTAAATCTTGAATGAACAACACAGTTACTCCAAGGCAGGGAATGTCTTTTGCCTTACTTTGTACCCCAGTGTGGATACAGTTTCTGGCACATAGTATAGGTGCTTAATGAATGTTTATTGACCGATGAAGGAAAGAAGGAAGGAAGGAAGGAAGGAAGGAAGGAAGGAAGGAAGGAAGGAAGGAAGG